TAACTGTGAATTGAAACTACTTCAAGTGAACAATTCATTGCATTATGCTCTTTCTGTGAATTTAAAAAAAATCTAGTTTTCAAAACTCTTTAGATGAGAAAGAACATTAAGTCATTTATCAAAAGTCATGAATTCATTAATAAAAACTGAATAAACATCTTCTTTTTTGGGCGGATTGCAACTTATGTGTGCAATTCACCATCCACTGTACAGGAGTGTGTAGTCACATTCAGCAAATTAGCTGGCAGCTTTTTGTGCTTTCCTCAGTTTATTTTGGCAACACCATAAACGTCAAAAATAAATTCAGGATTGCTTTTAAACATCTTTCGGGAGTCTGGACAGTAACGCCCATATTAGTTATCTGCAGAATAAGTAGAATTATCTGCAACCGAGTCGACAGCTGGCCTGTTCGTTTGTAGCTGCCACATAAGCTCATGAACAATAAAGGTCCAGATAACAAACTACTGAAAAACACCACCTCAGGAATTTATTTCTTAGCAAACTGTGGTAGGTCACAAACCAAGAAATCAGCCACATTACTGGCTCTTTGAAAACAATATTTGTTAATCGATCTGTGCCTTTAATACATTGAACGTATATATCATGGAAAAAAGTGTCAGTGATGTCTCCCATTGATTTCTAGCAAAGGCAAATGAGGCCCAGAGAGGGCGTCCCCAACCAATACCCTCATAAAAGTGAATCACGTCCCTGTAATCAAAAATGGGCAAAAGTTCCACAAAGGGCAGATGTGGGTGTTGAAACCACACACACACACCAAACGGTCTAAAACATAGACAAAAAAAGAAACAAAAAGCACAAGGAATAGTCAAGTTCATCAGAGGAAATTAGCAGGAATGAACGACAGCAGAGGCACGAGACGAGACGGGTTGAACAAACTGTCAATCATCAGACCATTCCCTTACTTATGAAGAAGGCTTAATAAATCTTAAACAAACTAATAAAAAAAAATAATAATAATTCACCCCCCTCAGAATGTGAAGGTGAAATCTTGAGATCAAAATCAAAAAGACTAGTGGAGCCAGGGGTGGAAATATGAGTTTTTCAGCTTGGGCAATTTAACATTGGAGTGAATGGGAGCCCCCTCACTTCTGGAGCCAGTCCCAAGAGGGAAAGCAGGAGGTTGCCCCTTGTTTTAATCACTCCAAACAGTGCAGAATGATGTAGAAGATCTAGAGGAATATTGAATAAAATAGACACAAAATTGGTAGTACATACCCTCTACAGTGAGATGCAATTAAAAGGAAGAATTAAACGGAGAAATCGTCCCACAGCTATGAATTTGTTACTGCGTGAGAGGATATCAAACTTGCACATTTTAATTACTATATGACTACTACCCTGTGTAATTTTGCTGCATATAATAAAATACCCTTGTGATTCATGCATATATGAAATACATTCCCTGCAGATGATTCATGCATTGCCCCAATAAACATCCACCTGCATTAAAATCAGCAGAAGGGACAAAATTATCATTAATTCAAACGATGAACTTTGTATTCTCATTATAAATTAAATGGATGTACCAACAGCCTGTCTTGCAGTACTGTAACTTCTTTTAAATACATGTATTCATCTGTTTTTCATTTAGTTTATTTAAATACTTCCAAAACCCTACATGGTGACCAGAAACAAATTGATGTGTTCTCATGTAGCCCGAGCACAGCCCTCATCCCGGCATCTTCCCTTTCACTCTTCTCAGTCCCCTCCCGTTTCTGCTGGCTCTGCACATCCTCCTGTGCCTCAGCGTGTGGATAAATATTTCATTGGCCGTTAAATATAGCTGTGCTCACTGTGAAGCTGACTGAGCTCCACTTCCTCATCAGGACAGGAGTTGAGGGAAAGACAGAAGAGTGGAGAGGACACCCTGCTCAGAGGAGCCTCCCCTCTGTACTGCGGCAGCTCCTCGCTAATCTCCAAGGTCACTCGGGTCAGACATCTTGTGAAGTCTGCAAAACATGTGCTGATGTTGGAGGCCCTACCCCAAAAGCATGTGAAAAGCTGCAGATCTCCTTTGATAAAGCTTTACTGGGGTAGCTGGCTAAGCTTATCAGTTTCGTTCGGCGGAAAAGAGTGTTATCTGTGATGTCTTCGGAGACGGGGCTCATTATAAGTCTTCCTCTTGTAGGGGAACATGAGTCCAAGGCGAAACATAAAGCAGCTGCTGTGAACGCTGGAGAACAAGAGAGAGTCAGATAAGGCAGAGGAAGAAGACAAATCAGAAGAGCAAGATATCCTGGAGAGAAACCGAGTGAGCGTGTGAGCTTACGCATGCATCCTCGATGCCGGATAATGAATACATGAATCAGTTTGACGCTTTGAGAGTGGGAGGCCAAGCGATTTCAGCAGATCAAATGATGGATAACTGGCTAAATCTGCAGTATGTCAGGATACTCCGGGAGGCTAAAGGTTCCAGGCTTTGCGCTCTTGTGCAGATGGACCTCACAAAAGATCTCCAGCACAGGGGATTCTACTTTTCATGATCTTGCTGTAGGACGAGGGTACTTTGAGAAGATAATGTTCTCTAACGTGTCAATTAATAGCCCTGGACGAGTGAAAAGAGTCACATCCTGTTCAAATGTTCATTCAGTTAGTCTGCTTTTAAACTTCGGGTCTTTGCTCATATCCGGTTTTATTCTCAGACTTTCTTCTTTCCTCTTTAGAAAGAAACGTGATGAATCTAGACAGGAAATGGAATGGAGAGGGAAAGGTTTTTCAGTCTAATTGGTGGTCTGAGATCTAGAGCTGCACAATTAAATGTTAAAAGATCCCAATCTCAATTCAACTTCTCACACGATCTTATCCCAAGCATAGAAACGTCTGTCTGAATACTCGATTCTGATTTGCTTGATTCATTTCGAATAACAGCACAGGTAGTCCAGGTCAGTTTTTTCACTCATGTGTATCAATCCACCCCTCCGCCAATGATCTCTCATCCATTTTACTGCACTATGCTGCGGGGATCACCGCTTTAGCCCCTACGACCCTGGCGTAATCAAATAGTTCTAATCCAGTTCTTTAACCACCTTTGTGCTGAGAAATCGCTCTGCATTTGTACAGATGTGGCATCTCTCAGGTAAGGCTTCAATAAAACAGGCGCTCATTGGACGCTAAGAGTCAGTATCCGAGCTCAACAACAACGACATCACCCACTTTCACAAACACAGGATGGAATAAAACGCATTCTGACATATCCTTAAACCCTCAGACCCAACATTATCAGCTGCTTCATGTCAATAAACCGTATTTAAAATTAGATATGTATAGTCTTGAACATAAAAGTCGATTGTGTCAAATGATTTGCACGAACGTTAACATTGTTTTCCTACCTGTTCTAGCTATATTCTAATAACAAAATTAAAAGATATAAAGTAAACATATCAAACTGTAAAAATATGGGCTATGGTAAACGTATGGTGTAACAGTTAAGGGGACCTACATCCCAAAATTAAAGAATCCACGGTACTATTTTTTGTGTGTTGTCATTTGTGAGCTCATGGTCATTTATTTAAACCATACATGTTAACAATACGTTAAACGTTTTTGTGTTGGAAAATTACCATGGCATAAACGAGATAATCAAAGCTCAGCCGTGCATTATGCAGTTATAATGTTGATTATCCCTTACTTGGTTCATCGACTTGCTTTCCAGTCTTGCTTCATTTCAAAATTTGTTTCTATATACAAAATATATCGAATAATGTTATTATAGACGTACTTTTAATAATAAATTAGGTCCATGCACTGCTCCCGCTGAAGAAAAGAACAACTTGTTTGTAGAAGTGTCATTTTCATTATATACGTAGGGTTGCGCAGGGCGACTCTGTTTCGACTCCCGAACCAGTCATCATTTCCCATCCTTCCCCTTCTCTCTATTAGTGATGGGCGGATCGATACTGTGGTATCGATATATCGATACTCACCTGTCATTTTTTTGGGTATCGATCTAATGACTAAAGTATCGATACTTATTATTACATTATTCAAAACATAAAAACAGGAGAAAGTGTACTATATTGTTCTATCGCTACCTTCATTTGTGTTGCTTAACACCCCCTCTGGCGCGGCTGAATGGACTCATCCATCCAATCAGAGCGCGGGAAACCCACCTCCGCCTAGCTAGCTAGCATTGTCAATTACAACTTTATGGAGGAGCACACACTTGGCGTCAACAAAACTCTCCCTCTTTTAGACACTTTCACTTTTTCATTTTTTTAGGTGGAATATCATCAGTGTAAATCTTGCCTCTAAAGTTTACTGCCATGTAACAATTACATTTCTTTAATCTCATTTACAGTATTAGGACTGACATGCCTCCTTCTTGGGTAATTCTCCCTTACCAGAGGAAATATGTTGTATGTGCATATGATAATTATATTTTCAAGGCTTAAATTTTTTCTAACATATACATTTTTTTTAATACAGTGCACATTTAAGTGCACAATGTCAGTTATATAAAAAAATACTGTTTAAATCATAATATACATGGTTTACTGCTCTCATTCAGCTGATTTACTTTAATGACGTTCATTAAAGTTCTTGCATTTTAATATTTGGTTGTGGTTCGTCCATAGAATATTATTTATCTTAGATTTTTTTGTAGTATTGATATTGGTATCGATATCGATTTCGTATCGTATCGAATCCAAAAAATGTGGTATCGCCCATTCCTACTCTCTATCCAACTCTCTTCCTGTCTACCCACTGTTATATCTATTCAATTAATACAGTCTGAAAAGGCCTTTATTAAAAAAAGAGAAGTGTTTCTTTCTTCAGTTTTAGTCTGAGCCAATAAATAAAACTGCTCCGGTACGAGTAATTCTATTATTGTTAAGCCTCTTTGACGTAATCTTTTTGATCACAGCGCCCCCTAGCTTGAAGCTGGAGGCATTTAATCATTTCTCGACATAAAAAAACGCAATTTGTACTGTACATCAAATACATCAAGTAAACTGTATAAATCTAGCTTTCCTGTCAAAGCCTGTGGCACAGTTGGTAGAGCATTGTGCTAACAATGCAAAGGTCGTGGGTTCAAATTCTGAGGAAAGCAATCTGTTCATTCATTCAAAATGTTTGGATACAAGTGTCTGCCAAATGCATAAATGTAAATATGGTACAAGTGGTTTTAATGAAGACATACAGAGAGAATGCCATCATATGCCATTTATTGCATATTGATTGAACGTTGCATATTGATTGCGCAATCTGAGGCGAAGCCAGGCAGGTCCAACATTCGATCAGCATGAAACATGTAACAGTCATTGATTGACTGATGATTTCTATTACCATGTTAATATGCTCAACTGTACATAATACAAAAACATGTTTAAAGCCTGCTACTTTTTGTAGATCCAGTTGCCCTAATAACACACTGGGTGAAGACTGGCCATATAGTGAATACTACGTCCATAGATCTATATGGCCAATTTTTTTCATATTTTCTGTTTTTAGCATTACATCTAGTGTTCGATCTTTCATTCATTGAAAGAGAATCTTTTTTTTTCATGTCGTCAATCTTTTATAGACTCTCATAGCAGAGGAAGTACATCATTTGCTTTTTATGTGCTGCTAATGCATGTGAGGTGTTACACACAATTAAGAGTATTGCTTTTAGTGTGCTAAACCACTTAGATTTGTTCCCTGTGCACTCTGTCATTTTTCTTATTTTTTTGTTGTTGTTTTTTTCCCTCGGTGATGGAAAATGGTTGAAATCCCAAATCCATAATCACCAGTAGACAGTAGTTTTGTTTTAATGCACCTGCCTCTTCAGACGTTGTGTTTACTCTCAGCTTTTACCAAGATAACAGCTGAGTCCATTCAACTTTCTCACTCACTCTTCCATTGACTTTCCAATATCTCTCTCTCTCTCTCTCTCTCTATCTGTAAAGTTCAGTGCAGTAATGGTTCTCATTCTGGCATTAATCTGTCTTAAGTTTACCTTGTCTTCGTCTCGCAAGAGGGATTTAATGAGTCAGTCTCCTTTTCCTCCCAGGGGAAGTCATCAGTCTAGACGCTTTCAGTTCTTCTTAACAGAGCAACAAATTGTCTTCCCTCAATTTTCTCCTGTTCAATTATGGTAGCTTTAAAGAACTTTCTAGCATGTTGCTTTAAATAAACATATTATAATTAGCCAGTGTTTAAAAGGTCTTCACTGAATCAAATGAATCCGCTCAGAGTAAGTGAGTCTTCAACCCTTCAGTTCTCATTGAGTTATCTCTTTGTTCAACATCAAATCGAGTAATTTCTGTTGGAACTGACCTGGACTTCTATTATGATGACGCTGATACAGACACTGCTCGAAAAACTGTCAAAACATGTAAAATGTGCTGTGCTGGTTCACTGATCCATTATACAAGTTTTAGCAGTTTTGCTTGCCGCATACTTGCTGTCATCTGAGTTTTCTGAACTGTGGGAATATCTGAATGAAAAATGGACACGAGACTCCCCTGAGAAGACAGAAGGGACATTACATTTTAATTTCATGGTTGGTTCTGTGAACACATCAAAATTTCCAAAAAAATGACTTTCGGTGGCATCGCATTAAATGAAAGTAAGGCCCATAGCACACTCTTCCTCTTATATTTTCACGTAAATCATCTTTTTCATCTACAGTTTAATTCAGAGGTGGAAGCTTTTAATTTGCATATCATAATGAAATTTCTCAAAGGAGACAGTGAAAATGCTTTCTAAAGACTAAAGACATTAGCTGTTCGATATCCTTAATCTGTAACCTCGGTGTGTTTCAGGCAATCATTGGTACCACTCATTTATCTCCATTTGTTAAAGCAGTCTATTGGGAGTTCAGTGAGTGTCCTCACCTTTAAAGAACACGTAGGAATTTTGTTTTTAATACTTCTGCTCTAAAGCAGAAAAAAACTCCCAATCCAATTTAAAATGTTATTCAAATGAAAAATGCACATTGTGGTGTTTGTCATGATCCCAATAACAAGGTGGTATTTTACCAATGAAATGTTCTACATTGTGGTAATTAATGTGCACGGTATTGTCACCACGGATAATTAAAAATACTGTAAATAAATATAGATCTAAATATAGATTTCATCAAACAGCATATTAATGTACAGCACTGATCAAAATCTTGGGCAGGTGTGGAAAAAAGTTGTATACAAAGAATCTGAAGAAGAAATATAAATGATGATATAAACAATGCCTCCCCAAAACACAAATTACAAAGTAGACTGGGAATACAAAATGTGCTGTTGAAGCTAAGCTTCGTGTAAAATGGAAGATGTCCAGAGTGCTGCAGGCGCTCTGGACTGATGAGTCAGAACTTGAAGTATTTGTTTGCAGCAGAAGTCAGTTTGTTCTTTGGAGGCTGGTGAGTAGTACAATATTGACAGTTTGCAGGGAACAGTTAAGCATGGTGGAGGTCTAATTTGGTGCTGCATTTTTTCAAATTGAGTTGGATATCTGTCCTAGATTAATGATGTTGAGAAATACAAGAAGATACGTCATGGAATACCACCAGGGAGCCATATTATTGGCCTCAAGTGTATTATTCAGCAAGACCATAATCCCAAACATCTAAAGTAATTAACCCTTAGAATTTTTTTGGCTATTTTCTACTACTTTACATTTTGCTCAAATTTATGTGTGGCTTTCCTGTGGCTCAGTTGGTAGAGCAGTGGGCTAACAACACAAAGGTTGTGGGTTCAAATCCCAGGGAAAGCAAGAACTGACAGAAAAAATATGTTCATTCAAATGTAAGTCGCTTTGGATAAGAGGGTCTGCCAAATGCATAAATGAAATTTGTATTTTTGTGGCAATGTATGATATCTCTTTTTAGAACAATGCCAGCTATTTTTGTTCATTGCATTATACAAAAATTCCACAACAACCCCCAAAACTACTCAAAAACTACAATTCCGAAAACAAATACTTTGCCATTTTTACAGCTTTATTTTGTGCAAGAATATAGAAAAATACAGGCCATCTCACAGGTACTGTGCTTCCAATGGTCATCCCTTCTTTTCAGCACTAGATGGCACTGACGGCACAGATTCAGGGTCTGTTAAAGGAAACTGAAAGACGATTGTGCATTTTCTCACATTTCGCTTTCGAATTATGTGTGATAACTCTTGTATTGTTCGTATAATGTATAATATATGCTACCTTTCAACACTGGCCTGTCCCCACCCTGTCTATGTCTGTGGCCAGAGGGGTCCCATTTCACTACTTGTAACAGTGTATGTGACAAATAAAGGCTATCTGTCTGTAAAAAACAAAAAATATCAAAACTAATAATCTTTTTGAAACCTATGCATTATTTTTCTATTTGAAATCAAACTGTAGTTGGGTCACATCATTCTTACCTAATTTAAAACAGACACTGTGATTGGTGCACGCACAAAGACTTGTAAGGGTTAAGAACTTGTAGTTCTTGCCGTCACTCAAACACAAACATACTTCACAATTACCAACACTCTCAGTACATGAAGTTGAAGACTTGTCGTTTTCAGTTGATTATCATGTAGATTCACAGTTCGGAAACATGTTTTTATCTTCAGTAGGCTTGGTATCAACACAGTCCTGTCAGAGATTTTTAGTGTGGCGTGCAGCAGAGATATTATAGAGACTATGGAGAAACTAGCTAAAGCTAGTAGTGTATGTGAGCACTTGAGTCTTTTTTATAGGACCTGTTAATAATTTGATTTTAAGTTCAGGAAAAGCTTATTGCATGAATTTGCCCCAAGGGCTTGTCACCTTTGCCGGTGAAGGACAGGCCACGTTTTACTATGAGACAGATGTCTCTGTGTACAGCCATCATGAGCTGTCAGTAAGCAGAAGCAATCGTAAGCACCATCCCTCTCACCACAAATACCATTCTTTTACTCACAAGTCCTCCATTACCCTGCATTTGTCCATGACAGGTAGCCCCACTAGGCAGACCTGAGCGGGAAACGCAAGGTGGAGGCTGTCAAAAGCGACTTTTGTCATAACCTGCACGTTGTGAAATCCACACAAGGAACATATCAACTCACACGGAGAGTTCATTTATTCGGTCTCCTAGAAACCATGTGCTAGCTGTGCAACCATTAATAAAAGCTGTTTATGGCTCTCAGATTTGATGAATTTGACAATCTGTTCAGAACGCCATTTTCCAAAAGAGCTGACAAAACAAGATTTTTCGGAAAGTTTCTCAAGTACATGATGTGAGTCAGAGTCATTCCCCCAAAGGAACAGTACGCAACTGAACATACTGAAACCGATAAAACGTCAATACTTTTTTCTTTAAAAAAAAATCCTTAAAAGTGAGAAAAAGAGAACACTTCACTGATGCTAAAGTTGGCTCGCTTAACATTTGACCCTCAAGTCGATAATAGTCAAGACATCATATTTCAGTCATGTACATAGTTCATGATTATGGTTTTTTCAATCTATTTTTAAAGCACAAAGAGTACTGCAATGCTCAGCTGGGCTGAAATTAGAATCCACCATAAATAAATGACAGTGAGCTGTAATCTTCAGGAAAAGTCCAGGAAAAATTGAACACTTCACTTTTTAGAGCCCATTATTATAGTAAAGTGTACTGTTCCACATTATCTTCATTAGTCTTTATTCCCCTTGATTTTAAATATTCTGTAGAATAATTTTTCTTAATTATCTCTGTATCTCGGTTTAATGTATTTGTGTGTGTTTTTTTGGGTTTGATGATCCAATTCAAAGACATATAACTTTATATATCATGATTACCACCCTTTTTAAGTGGCTGAGAATTTGAATCCTTCTTCTTTTTGTTCACACTGATCTGTTCATCAAGCACTTTAATGAATAATTCATGTTTTCAATAATTGAAACATTTTCATAGAGCGGGTCAATAGACACAAAATAATTGACCTTTTGCTAATCCCCATCCCCCAAACAGCTCGAGACACTTGTGAAATCTGCTCAGTTCTTGCCAATGCATGAGAGACATGTAGCATAATGTTTAAGACATTTAAGAAGAACATATTTCATGAATGAGGTCAATAGTTGGTCAATGTTATTGAATTTTATTGAGGAATCAGCAAATAGAAGAATATAATTTTTAGATTAGCTCCAGGATATGTATTGTTACAATTTTGTATTACGATATATTGTGCCGCAGCACTGTGGCCTTCCAGTTAAAAGGTTGTCGGTTCGAGGCTCGCCAGTGACCTTCCTGGAAGGAGTTTGCATGTTCTCCCGGTGCTTGCATAGATTCCTCCGGGTACTCCAGTTACCCCCAGAATCCCAAAAACATGTTGTTAGGTTAATTGAATTATCTAAATTCCCCTTAATTGTGAATGTGTGTGTTGCCCTGCGATGGACTGTCGACTTGTTCAGGGTGTGGCCCCGCCTCTCGCCCAATGTGCGCTGGAGGGGTAAATAAGCGGGTTGGAAAACTGATGGATGTATTGTTACAACCCTAATAGCCACAGATACCCCGCTGAGCTTGCCTGATAACTCCTATCGGGGGTGGGATTAGCAATTACCCAATTGAATCACTAAAAACTGTTTAAAAATAAAATATTTCATGTTTTTCCAATAGTCCTCTATTAAACAAAGATTTTGCTGTAGATTTTCTTCCTCCAGGGATTGGATCTAATCAATTTAGATGACCAGAACTATTACATAATTCTGGAAGTTGACCCATAAATATATCCGGATAACTGTTTTCCCTGTCTCCTCCTTCATTAATTTTAATATATTGGCATAATTTAAAAAAAATATGCAAATAAGTGTTTAATCGCCAGGGATTAACTGTGGTGCTCGCCTCCCAGAAGCTCTGTTGGCTCAGCGGTCAGACACAGACTCCCTGCCTCACTTACACTGCTCAAGAGTGAGCAGCAGGGCAGTGGGCAGCAGTGCATGATGGGAAAGCAGAGTCGAACTTCCCCAAAGACCTTCTAGCTCTCGGTGTGTGTGGAGTGTTTGATGTGCTGTGCAGTAAACAGCAGAGAAGAGCTCGCCTCATTCTGGTGTCTCCCCAGAGATGCGCCGGAGCATAAGCACACTAATGAGCACAGTGATTACGGGAAGCCTTTCAGGAAAATGTTACAAATGTAAATCTGACTACTATCTCAGCTATGACCGCGGGAATGTGTGTTTTCAAACATAGATGTGCATGGATTTTCGATAAGGGCATGATTAATAGTGATGTGTTTTTAATATTTTAAGCCCCCTTTGCCTTTCATCTCTTCAATTTGGCCATTTTTTGGATCTGAAATCCACAGAAAACACCAGGGAATTGTGACTTTGAGTTCGAAACGCTGTGATTTTTAAACTGGGTGATTATTTTCACAGCTGAGTTGTTGAAGTGCTATATTGCATCCATTACATAACACAAAACTTTGTGTTTGGAGCTGGTGAGGGTAACCGCTTGTGATTTGCTCTCATTCAAAGCTACGGGAACATATTTTAATCTTCGGTACATGTGGAAGAACAAGAGAATTGCATTTGAAAGACGTTTTTTTCTCTCTTTTTGGGGGGTTTATGACCACAGACTGTAAAAAATTCATCAGCAGTCTGTGTGAGCGTGTGCTGCTAGACTTGAGTACTTGGTGTTATTGAGTTCTGAGTGCTACAACTTTAGTGGATTGTGATCATAGAAAACTATTCTGAAAACAATTTTATTGATGACTCCAGTGACATCTGTAAATTTGAATATGTGTAGTATTTAAAAAAACATCATTCTATTCTATTGAAACAGTTCTTTAACTAAATGTTTTATTAGAAGCACCAATTATCATGAATTATAAGGACTGTTTAATTAAACATCTTTTAGGAGTCAATAATTAGCATGAACCACCACCTAATTATCCAATTTCCATCATTTTTCCTTGTAAGCTGATCTAGTCCATCTCTCGCTCTCCCACGTTCCTCCGCTTCTCCACACTCATGGAAAGGGAGGAATTTTTGGACACATCTAAGATGGACAGCAAGCCCTGAACCCGCCACTTAATCTTACGTACATTGTGCAGATCCTGATTGTAAAACATTCGTCTTATGTTTATAACAGCATTATCTCTGTTTTAATAGCTATGCCATGGATTTTTCCCTTCCTAGTAGGGCACTCCCTACACAGAAAGTACGCAGTCTGCATAGGGCACCAACTGCCAGAGGGAGGCACCCCGTGTTAGTTACTTTCCTTTTGTAATATGCATATATCTCCACGTATATTAAATGTAGAAACTTATTAATTATAGAGTTCTTATTAATTATAGCTTCTTATTAACCCTCTTCGATCATCTGTACAGACACATTTTAGCTTTCCTTTCTCAGTTTTGCGCTCAAAATATCTTTACATCATTAAACTAAGTGTTATTGCCTGTCAGAATCCAAAATTTAAGAATATTTTAAACTTAAATTTTTTGGTATTCCATCCTGATTTTTTTTTCTAAAACTCAATAGGGACAATTGTGTATTGGACTAATTTTCTTTTAAGTCATTACAGTAATAATTATTGACTGTCAGAATCCAAATATTTGGAAAATCTTACTGTGGCATTTTTGAGATATTCCATCCTAAACTTGGCTTTTTTTTACATTTAGTGAAATTGTGTCTTGAGGACATTTTCGGGTTTAGGGCACTCTTTAGGCCATTCCCCTTTGTTAGAATATTTTTTTTTTACTTTTGGACAAATGCACATAAACTGTGTGATACTATCCCCTAGTGAAAAAAATCTAACAAAAATGACTCAATTTATGCAG